ATTGTTACGTCATCAAAAAACTATACCTTTATTGTCTGATAATGTTGTTTTTTCGATTGTTCTAACCGCTAGGCATCTTAGAAACAACGATATAGATAGCTGTTTTAGTTATCTGCGTGTAGCGACATTCTAATGTAGATTCTTACACCGTTATCAACCAGTGCGACTCCAACCATAGGTAGAGGGTTATATATAAGCGGAGATTAACATTAAAAAATAATCAACTGTATGTTTTGGGCGGTGAGGTGGCCTGGTAGATGAAGCTATCTCTCCTTATGCTGAAAATATGGTTCGATTCCACCAAATGGGTGCAGTCCACACAGTCAACACACAGTCAACAGTCACACATTCAAAACAGACTGACTGGGTTTAGTCCACACAGAAATGGGCAACACATTGTGCCCATGTGGGGAATCGAACCCGGATCTTCGGCGTGACGATTCAACAACACTTCCCCATTCGAAACAGAGATAGAAAGAAATGAACACATAGATCTTAAGGCCACGAAAAACTAAGAAAAAACAATTTCCAAGAATTACTTTCTGTTGTCACAATCGTCGTCGTTCGTGAGATTCACTAGTCCACAGTCGTCTACGGAAATTAGCAGAAACTTGACAACAGCATAAGAAACTACATCGAAAGGTCGTTAAAAGGCTCTATCCATTGTTATCCCCAAAACTGCACCTTGCTCCTTTACCCGTTTACCCACCAACAGATCGAATGCCAATCAAACAGTCCCGGGTCCATGTGGCCGTTAACTTTGCGTTACAGTATGGCCGTTACGATGATCGTAGCACGGAGGCCGTTTCGTGAAAGTGAGCCCTGCAGATGAAAAGAACACCGGGTAGTCAGTCACGCTGAAACGTTAACTCTATGTCATCGAAATCTGTCGGCATTGCTTGTGATATCAACCATTGCTCTGTTTGGCTCCGAGTCTAATATTTACACACACACACGCGCGCGCACACATGCACATGCACACGAACACACCACGATAAAGCAAAGGCAGCTTTAAAAGCTTGAACATAAAAACATCGTCAGCAGGATCAACATCATAATTCTAGAAAATAAACACACAACTGGTTTTGTTTTCATTCCAGAGATAACATGGATATAACATGGATATAGATGAGCAGGTATACAGTGACAGCTGCATATGTCGGATCGACCCGTTACCTATATTCAGTTATTATGTTATATAACCAGGTTAAATATCCAGAGTGCTAAGACTAAATCTTACAATAGTGTTAGTTGAAAACAACATCGCTGATTACACGAACGAAGGAAAACGCTTGCCAAAAAAGTAGTTATTATAAACACATGCAAACCTCCAGCGTCTAGCCGAGCTGAACACGGTTGTACTTCAACCGTGTCGGACCTCGTGTGTCAAGGAGTTGTACAGTTAATATTTGTTCCTCATGTGTCACGGAAGTAGCTGTCATGGTTGTACAGTAAACATTTGTTCCTCATGTGTCACGGAAGTAGCTGTCATGGTTGTACAGTTAACATTTGTTCCTCGTGTGTCAAGGAAGTAGCTCTCATGGTTGTACAGTTAACATTTATCCTCGTGTCACGGAAGTAGCTGTCATGGTTGTACAGTTAACATTTGTTCCCCATGTGTCACGGAAGTAGCTGTCATGGTTGTACAGTTAACATTTGTTCCTCATGTGTCAAGAAAGTAGCTGTCATAGTTGTACAGTTAATATTTGTTCCTCAGGTGTCACGGAAGTAGCTGTCATGGTTGTACAGTTAATATTTGTTACTCATGTGTCACGGAAGTAGCTGTCATGGTTGTACAGTTAACATTTGTTACTCATGTGTCAAGGAAGTAGTTGTCATGGTTGTACAGTTAACATTTGTTCCTCATGTGTTACGGAAGTAGCTGTCATGGTTGTACAGTTAATACTTGTTCCTCATGTGTCAAGGAAGTAGTTGTCATGGTTGTACAGTTAACGATTGTTCCTCATGTGTCACGGAAGTAGCTGTCATGGTTGTACAGATAATATTTGTTCATGTGTCACGGAAGTTGCTGTCACTGTTGTACAGTAAACATTTGTTCCTCGTGTGTCACGGAAGTAGCTGTCATGGTTGTACAGTTAATATTTGTTGCTCATGTGTCAAGGAAGTAGCTGTCATGGTTGTACAGTTAATATTTGTTTCTCATGTGTCAAGGAAGTAGCTGTCATGGTTGTACAGTGAACAGTTGTTCCTAATGTGTCAAGGAAGTAGCTGTCATGGTTATACAGTTAATATATGTTCCTCATGTGTCACGGAAGTAGCTGTCATGGTTGTACAGTTAATATTTGTTCCTCGTGTGTCACGGAAGTAGCTGTCATGGTTGTACAGTTAATATATGTTCCTCATGTGTCACGGAAGTAGCTGTCATGGTTGTACAGTTAACAGTTGTTCCTCATGTGTCAAGGAAGTAGCTCTCATGGTTGTACAGATAAGATTTGTTCCTCATGTGTCACGGAAGTAGCTGTCATGGTTGTACAGTTAATATTTGTTGCTCATGTGTCAAGGAAGTAGCTGTCATGGTTGTACAGTTAATACTTGTTCCTCATGTGTCACGGAAGTAGCTGTCATGGTTGTACAGTTAACGATTGTCTTCATGTGTCACGGAAGTAGCTGTCATGGTTGTACAGTTAATATTTGTTCCTCATGTGTCACGGAAGTTGCTGTCACTGTTGTACAGTAAACATTTGTTCCTCATGTGTCACGGAAGTAGCTGTCATGGTTGTACAGTTAATATTTGTTGCTCATGTGTCAAGGAAGTAGCTGTCATGGTTGTACAGTTAATATTTGTTTCTCATGTGTCAAGGAAGTAGCTGTCATGGTTGTACAGTGAACAGTTGTTCCTAATGTGTCAAGGAAGTAGCTGTCATGGTTATACAGTTAATATATGTTCCTCATGTGTCACGGAAGTAGCTGTCATGGTTGTACAGTTAATATTTGTTCCTCGTGTGTCACGGAAGTAGCTGTCATGGTTGTACAGTTAATATATGTTCCTCATGTGTCACGGAAGTAGCTGTCATGGTTGTACAGTTAACATGGTTCCTCATGTGTCATGTGTTACGGAAGTAGCTGTCATGGTTGTACAGATAAGATTTGTTCCTCATGTGTCACGGAAGTAGCTGTCATGGTTGTACAGTTAACGATTGTTTCTCATGTGTCACGGAAGTAGCTGTCATGGTTGTACAGATAATATTTGTTCCTCATGTGTCACGGAAGATGCTGTCACTGTTGTACAGTAAACATTTGTTACTCATGTGTCACGGAAGTAGCTGTCATGGTTGTACAGTTAACATTTGTTGCTCATGTGTCAAGGAAGTAGCTGTCATGGTTGTACAGTTAATATTTGTTTCTCATGTGTCAAGGAAGTAGCTGTCATGGTTGTACAGTGAACAGTTGTTCCTAATGTGTCAAGGAAGTAGCTGTCATGGTTATACAGTTAATATATGTTCCTCATGTGTCACGGAAGTAGCTGTCATGGTTGTACAGTTAATATTTGTTCCTCATGTGTCACGGAAGTAGCTGTCATGGTTGTACAGTTAATATATGTTCCTCATGTGTCACGGAAGTAGCTGTCATGGTTGTACAGTTAACAGTTGTTCCTCATGTGTCAAGGAAGTAGCTGTCATGGTTGTACAGTTAACATTTCTTCCTCATGTGTCACGGAAGTAGCTGTCATGGTTGTACACTTAACATATATTTCCCATGTATAGAGAAAGTATCAATGATAGTCGTACAGTTAACATCTTTTCCCTATATATGTCAAGATAGTCCTGTGAATAATTAATATATATTCGCCCCGTGTCACGGAAGTAACCGTTATTGTTGTATATTTAACACTTGTTCCTCATGTGTCAAAGAAGTAGGCGTCATTGTTTTACACTTAACGTTTGGACCTCGTGTGTCACGGAAGTAGCCGTCATCGTTTTATAGTTTACATTTGGACCTGAGAAAGTTAAGAAGGTTCTGTGCATGGTTGTACAGTTAACAGGTAATTGCACAAACTAACTAAATGCTGGAAAAAGGAAACGGGAACTAAGATCTCAACACCAGAACCTACTGACAGTGCCACAATACAAACTCAAGTCCTTTGGTCAAAGATGTTTTGAACATTATGCCCCCTACATGTGGAACTTTCTTCCCCAAGATCTTAAACTTTCTCAACGTTTGATTCATTCAAAGTGAGTCTCAAAACCTATCTTTTCCGCCAGTTCTATGGATTATACTAACACTGTCATCATTCCTTCCCATGTACTTTTGATTGTTGTGCCTTGAACATGCTGCTAGCGTGGAAATGAGCGCATTATAAATGTGCACTATTATTATTATTATTAAATTCCGCACAATATGGATACGATCAAAATATAGAATGCCTCAAATGGAAGTATTTTTGCCTCGATGCTCATGCTGTTGATCACTGGATTGTCTGGTCCCGACTTGATCATTTACAGACCGCCGCCATACAGCTGGAATATTGTTGAGTGCAAGCAACAAACAAATAAACAACAAACAAACAAACAAACAAACAAACAACAAACACTCTGCAGATGCTCAATCCACAGAGTGCAACGAGATCAAAGAACGTTCCGGATGAACAAACAGTGGCAAACCCCCCCCCAAAAAACCCCTACTAGTATGAAGAACACGTTGAAATAATGTAAATGTTTATGCATACATAGTTAATATTTCAATTTTCAGTTCGAAACACGATTGAATTACCTTTGAATTATGTTCAACTGGATCACAGCCATCACATCAAACGATGTACCGTGTCCTTTTTTCCAACGCACTGAGATAACCAGCAATGTTAGAACAGCCCAGTCATCTCCTTGTAACAGTTAGTGAGTACTTGTTATACATATTATGTCATTTGTGAGTCAGAGTAAGCACAAATGTTTTTTGTGCCAATATAATTTCATTACGATATTGCCTCTCAATCACCCAACATCACCTGTAGGACGTGCATGCAGTGTGGCAGAGCCTACACCAGATCGCTACAAGTCAATGTGTCTCTGATCAATGCTTTATCTGTCCTCTGTGAAGGCATTCAGCGGATGGGAAGTCACTGCCGTGTCCGCATTCACGGCAAATTTGCTCCATAGCGTTCCTTTAAGGGTTTTATTGAACACTAACGAGACAAGTACCTTGGTATTGTTACGAAACGTCTGCTTCTCTCTACCCGAGTAGGTATGAATCGACTTCTATTCAAGGTATGCCGGGACGTAGACCTGAGTTTGACTTGTGAAGAGTGTGCTTCGATCTATGACGTCACGGGAGCGCGCGAGCCGCGCAGTGGTGGCGTACACCGGAAACCACCTAATAGCGTTGGGACAATACAGAGAGGGCTAGGCCTTCACGAAGGAACTAGAAAAAAACGGACTGGGATTGGATTTAATACACAGACCAATATCATTGGATAGCATTTTAATTATTAATGAAGTCAGAAATAAATCTTTGAGTAAAGGAACGTCGCTCTCCGCCCACGACGAGCGTTATAACTAAGTTTCGACAAGGGATCAGCATTATCAGAAGGTAGCTGTCCTGGTACACAAGTGGAATAAATCTTGGAATACCTTCTTAAGACAATTCGTGGTCATGTCGTCTGATACGGACACTGTGAAACGACGTCTTGCGTTCCAGAAAAGTTACAGCCAAGAGGTAACGTTTGCTTTTCCATTTAGCTCTTATATAACAAGCTTATCGTACTTTGACATGTACCATTTAATAACATTGCTGTTTTTGTAACTGAAACATGTAAATGTAATGACTAGATCATATCTATTACATATATGCATATGTTTCTGATTATCAGTACCACCTGCTCTTGACGTCTTCCTGTATGACGCAGCCAGAGACCAATGTGTGTCTGGCAGATGAAACAATTTTGCGTTAAAGATACAAATATCGTGTAATTTGTCACGTCGAACTTCTTGATAAAGCCTTTTGAAAAGAGTGGGTGAATTAAAATTTAAAGTCAAGCAGTATTTCAGATCTTGGCCCTCTTAGAACGCAGTTCTGAAAGTATATACTGTACAAGTGTAATTGAAAGTTTAAAACACAAAGTTTAACAAAGAGGATAGCGTAAAACTAAAAACTATTGGATCTCTAACAAACAAGAAGAAGCAATATAAAATATATAGAAGACGAGTAAATACTAACTAACGTTTTATTTTTATAATTTTATAACGGACAGTTATTCTAGCGTTACAAACACCGACATTTTGTCTCGACCATTACACTAAAAAGACCACCAAGCAGACACTTTGATCTAGTCCAGTATTTATAGCTGTGTATCGTGTTTTCAAATCGCCCGTGACATATCGAGGCCTTCAGCCCGAGTACTCTCCTAAACGTCTACGATTCCTTGTGAATGGAACAATGTCCGCGTTCTGACATATTTAATTTCCCTTGTGGAATTGGGGAGGTGGTTCCATTACGTTTGATTCACATGCTCTCCACCTCTCTGTATGCATGGTCAGATGGTGCCTCGCGTGCAGTGCTCACGTGACTCTAACTCTATTTACGGAACGTCTGTATCTCTCGGTCATGGAAATGCATTTATATTATGGTACGCGTGGAGTCTCTCTGTGTCAACATAGTACACTGTCAGCATCGTCGTTGTAGAGAGATCTGTTTTGGGACTGCACTGACGTCCACGTTGGTTATGAAAGCAATCTGTAGCTTTGTCGTTGTATACATTGGGATGAAACATCACTCAAGTATAGCTGGGTATATTTGGTGCCGTAATCCGCGTACCATAAGTTTTGGTCGATATGTGATGACGCGCTTTGAAGATATTTTCTAACGATTAGGAAAATATGACCAAGAAGAGAATTAATTTACAGCAACATATTACAAGTAGTTCAACTTCAAAAGTGATTTTAAATAAAAGTTTTATGAAAAATTATCTAGTGTATCATTTCAATAACATTTTCGATCGAAATAGACTTGCCATTTAATAGAATATACTCTGCATGGTTGTACTAGTCAATATGTATATTCATGTGTTTGAAATATACTGGACAAAAATAGTTAGGGATATATGTAAATTTTGAAATTATGAATAATGATCTATTTATTCCATGACACACTGATAAAATATCAATCATAATAATACCAATATCCCTAACTTATTTTGTCCAGTGTATATATATGTATGTATGAGGATAATGACATGGATATATGTTTTTCTTGATTTCCTACGTAAATAAATGCAATGCAATGCAAACCATTTCCATAATTAATGATAATTTCCTGAAGAAATATCCGCAAAAAGCTGTGTTCATTGTATGAGTCGGACTATGTCATCAGCTTGTGACGACACCAGGTGTTCACGAAGAGGTGAGCATATCCGCTCCCACTGATGACACGCGCCACAAACACATACAAAGGCAAGGCAATTGTTCACCTGAAAATCACGGGACGGTAAAAGTCAAACCAGGGAATTTCACTGGACATCATTTGGTCACGCGTGTGTCAAATATGGAATTAATATCCACATTTCAACACATATCAACTCTTGCAACGCTTTATTTACACGTTGACTGTGGCTTCTGTGAGCAAACATCTGTTCATCACTCTTTGACATCTTCCTACAAAGAGTACAGTGGATTGTTGTGACTTGGGACGATACAGGCTGCTGGGTGTTGCTCGGCATTAAGGAAGAGTTGGTAATTGAAACGGTCATGTCATCCCTTTCCCACTCTGAATCTGTGGTAAGTCCAAATATGAAACAGATGAGGCGGTTTCGCAAGTCTGTTTCGGTTGTATACAGCTATTTTTAGTTCAGATATCTAAATCAGTCCTTGGGAATCGGCTCTTTGACAGCTATTGAACAATGTCAGATCGTCAATATACCTGAATTTAAACTTCTCGGCCAAATTTCCTTGTTAAGATTCGATCATATGTATTAAGAAAGAGATCGCCAGAAAGGGAGAAGAATTAGTGCCCATGGGGATGACGTCATCTTGCCTAAATGTCAAATCCCCAAATTTCTGTGTCACAAAAGACCATGTCCAGTAATTTACACAATTGCTTTCACAGTCAACTTCAGATCACATTCACCTTTCACGTTAACGTATTCACCTATAAGATATAATGTAACTACATCAGTTTGGAAGTATTGTCCCAAATAAAGTGATGTGACAACAATGTATATCACGTTAAGCTGCAAACGCACCATGGATGAAAAACTGAAGCATTCCTTGCTCTTGGGGGAGGTGGGGTAGCCTTGAGGTTAAAGCGTTCGCTCGTCACGCCGAAGACCCGGGTTCGATTTCCCACATGGGTACAATGTGGAAAGCCTATTTCTGGTGTCCCCCGCCATTATATTGATGGAATGACGCTAAAAGCGGCATAAAACTAAATCCACTCCCACTTTACTTTTGTAGTGTGGGGTACCTAAGTGCAAATCGGAATATGACATATTTTGTCAGATTTTAATTTTTATTCTACAATATTTGAGAATCTCCACACGGTATTAATTCCACTTGTTTCAAATTAGTGTAAATGAAAATCGTACATCACAAACAACCGAACAACAATTCAGACATCCAATGACAGAGAATATAACGACAGGTAGCACGGCATCTGGATAGATCTGTTACCGTAACGAGCCTCTATCGGAGCATCCACCCGCTTCTTAAATCAAGAAAATATATCATTACTAAATAAATGGTAATTTCATTTACATAATCGACAAATGAAAAGCGGAGCTCCCATCGCTACGCGCGGCTACCGTTAATGCGATGACATTAACCCATACTAATTCAATATATAGATCTCTAACATAAACATCACAGCAGTAAATGAAGTGATTGATATGGCTTCGGTCGTCACATACAGTGAATCAAAAATAGAGAAATCACATTATCTGATTATCAGTATTGTCATATTAGCAGACAAATATATATAAATGCAGTATTGTTATTTTTAGTGCCAAGAGAAATCAAATTGTGATGAAAGAATAGTAGCAAAGGATAAATATAAACTCGACAAGGTCATTTTCGTTTCAAGATATGTGAGTTGACTCTATAAATCTATATGTGTGTTGACGTCAAATTTCATCATAGTATTGTAAGGTAAGCGGGAGATTGGACTGAGAGTACCTATGGACTTCAGTGTACAACTCCAGTTGGTAGACTGCATGACCTTGCGGTATCTGGTATGAAGGTGAAGGTCATTCCCACATTTCGGCCCTTTAATATAAAATAGTGCACACTCCGGCGCGGTGATGACTTAGCATAACATCACTGCCACAGGCTAATTTGCATATCACGTGACCGGACTTTTCTCTTGTTTGTAAACAAACCCGCATATTCATAATAATAAGAGACTGGCCTTACGCAAGCTTTTCGGCGCTCTCTTCACAATGTTTTACATTGTTACATACATATTCTTCCACAACTGCGACAGTTAGGTCTATGACAGTATATATTTAGACATCAAACTGGCTGCATCGTTTGCTCTCCGTCGGCTTCGATGACAGCACGTGGAGCCGTACAACCTATGTAAACAAAGGATGGCTACGCAAATTGAAATAGTGTTACACATTTTAGGATATTTTCTCAGTGAAACTAAACCATTCTATCAAAGATGTTTCATTAGAAGTGTAGACTCGTCAAAAATACAAGAGTTAAGAAATATGTACATTATGTTGAATGGACGGGGCAAGAAAATCAGGGCGCAGGACGGTGCAAGATGTGACGAATCGTCACATCTTTCTGCCTGTGGCAGAGGTACTATGCTGGCTTGCCGCATGGAACTCTGGGTAGGAGAGTGAAAATACTGATTAATCACATTTAACTTGATAGAATGAAGTTTAACTGCCAATCAGTACTGTGGTATACCGTTATATGTAGACTGTGTATTATAATTGTTACAATTTACGATACCTAATTTGTAGGAGAATACATAGCAATCGTATATAATACTCATATGGATACACCGGTCTGTGCCCTTATTCTCCAAACGTTCGTAGCCCTAAGAATTCTTAACTTTGATCGTAGCCAATGTGTAAAGAATGGGCTTAAGAAGTTCGTAAGGCTACGAACGTTTCGAGAATAGCTAGCCTGGTCTATATTTACCACTATGTATTGACCATGGGCAGTTCTAAAACCATGATTACCAAGGAAAATGTTCAAACTTTTCTATCAAGGCGGCAGTGGTAACACTGACAACTGATTGAGTGCTTCTCGGCATCAATAGGTTATCTAGTTGATTTTGATGCACGAAAAAGTGAGTGAGTGAGTGAGTGAGTGTGTTTATTTTAGCAATAAAATTACAGAGAAAATCAGGCGCAGATCCACAAAACGTTCGTAGCGCTACTTCATTCGTAAACCCATAATAAACTATAGAGTTACGACAAGTCGTAACGTTACGAACGCTTTGTTAATTGTATCAATGTGGGGATCGAAGCTTGTAACCAACTGCTACCTGACCGTCCATATGGTGTAGAATATATGGATATGAAAAGAGTACAAAATAACGTCTGAACGTTAGTGTTTGATGTTAGTGTTAGAATTGTGGTCCATGTTACGCCACTCGTCACGTATACGGCACCTCAAAATTATTACTGTTAAAGATTAAAACAGGATTCTGTTATCAATTATAGCAAATTTACAACCATTTTATTGACATAATGGATCTGAAAGTTTTTG